AAAACCTATAAATACATTGCTTATTCACACTGGCATTACAATTTTTTTTGGACACTAATTGGATTAAACTGCGATATTTTGTTTTTGTTCTTAAGACTTAGACGAAAAACAAGAGACTACACATCGAAGTTGTAAAGTAATAATTTGGGGATAGCATTTATTTGACTGTATTTTAAAAATAAACTTAAAATTATAAATTCGAAGAGATACTGTGTCTGTTAAAAATGTATCTCATTTTAAATTTTATCAACTTGCTCTTGTTGCTTGCAACTACTTAACTACTTAATTCTTGAATTGTAATCAAAATATTTTTATCAGAAATTTAAAATGGCAAGAATATCAATTTTTTTTTTTAAATCTAATTGTTAGAGTAATTGTAAAATAACAAATCAGGACGCAATCAAAAGCATTGCGGTATAAGAGCGCAAGAGGAATGTGATGTTATTTATAAAAAAAATATACGGATCTTAAAATATTACTTGCTACGTTCATTTAACACATGTACGTGTCGTTATATGTAGTATAATCCGCGGAAACTTTCACTCACGTTCAGAAATCAAGTTAATTATATTTTTAATTAAATTTATTCATAATATCATCAAATTCACTCATTTAATATTCATTTGAAATTGCTGTTATACTATTAAGGCAATAAAACATTCTTATGATTTTTTTCTACATGTATTAGTTAATTTTGCATTCGTGGTGACGTAATGACTTTTAAGTGAGTGGCATTTCTTCTGGTGGGAAAAGGTAAAGACGAATAAGTGTTTGTCGTCTTTTACAATGGAAAATGAGCAACGAAGTTCTTTGAGTATTGAACCAGCGTACTGGAACCGGCGATAAAGATTTAAAGATGCTAGAGCATATTGTAAGGCACGTCCTTACGGATCCATCAGATCCAATAACTCTTACATTAGATACTTTCAGCTCTAACACTAGGAGCAGGCTGAGGAACCCCGGTAACCGTACTCGTCGAACTCGACAAAGAGGTCGACGTGAAACTTAACCCATGCATCAGCCCGCTGAGTTTCTCGCCGGGTCTTCTCAGTGGGTCGCGATTCCGATCCGGTAGTAGATTCATTCGCGAAGCAATTGCTCTCGAGTGGTTAGGTTTCCTTCGGAGGCGCTCGGGCAGTTGTTAGCAAATCCCACCCCTCCTGGCTGAGCCTTTGCTCGCCAACCTGTCCTGGTGAAACTGGAAAGGCCTCCGGGCCACCAGTAATCTATCAATCATAAAAAAAGGCCCGCCGGATTGTCACCTTCGTACCAATTTCAACCGCGAAACAGTCACTCGCTCCGGTTTGCTGGGTGGGACAGCCGTTAAGCAATGCAGTTGATTCTTTAACCTTGTGTGTACACCAGGTATGTCGCGAACTTGTTTTACACAACGAAACAGCAGCAGTAATCGCGTCATCGAATAAAACGCTGAGGATTTAATTTGGTTTATTAATAGATTTAAAAAAATGAGGTACTTAACAATTCGTGTGTGCGTTACCTCAGAACTTTTTTCTAGATGAACCGATTTTGACGATTTTTCGTTTGGAAATTATATCAAGAAGTGATATGTTATTTGGTTTAAGCTACGTTTCGCTTAATAGGTACGCGACATTTATCTTTGTAATGAAAGTTGCATTTTATTTGCTATTAGCATCGACAGACAGTACGATGCTTTTAATTGATATTAAATTTTACTCTCTTGAAATAGCTGGAAAGTTTTATTATTATGATATTTTCCAAATTTTAAACTTTAAATGTCTTTCTTATAAAGTAGCAAAAATATCGCTTTAAGCGTTCACCCGTAGCCACCCCATAAGCCATTCACCCTTCGATACAATGACAATAAAAATGCGAGATAAATTATAAACTATAAATAGCTTTAATTAAACCTACGACTCTCGAAATCCGAGGAAATTAATATGTACCTATAACTTTAGTCCCAAAGGCATAATCACTCTCTTCATCACAATATATACGCGTAGCGAGCTTTGTCTTTAGAAGCCTAAACTTAGAGCTGGAAATGTTATTAACAGCAATACCCTAATACGTTTTCGATTATCCGATCGCGACGGGGCAATGCAAAGCCGCCGTCGCGGCGTCGCCCGAAACATGTTTTGTCGGATCCCCCGGATTCACTCTCGGTGCTTTTAGGCCCCTCAAGAACCGGTCACCTGGCCCCATCGAACTCGTCGATTACGACGAGCGAACTAGCCCATAGACACAGTCCACTGAGTTTCTCGAAGGATCTTCTCAGTGGGTCGCGATTTCGATGCGGTGCTAGGGCTAGTGTTAGCAACGTCCTCTGGTTAGAGCCCCGTGAGCTCACCTACTCGCTCGGTGAATCTAGTATGACCCCTCGAGGTCATTAGAACAATACGTAAGTATGTCTAACCCGTCAAACTGGAACATCCGACTGCATGACGGCGATAATAGGTAGGATGGCGACATCAACCAGTGCGAGCCCGCAATACGTACGACTTACCAATCAGTACTTATATCAAGTCGCTTTGTTTAGTTTAATTTATCTTGTTTTATCGCTAATCGTTATTTTAATGTGAGATAAAATGAAAATCACGATTAATTATAAATTATAATCTCTAAACATTTAATAAAAACAAAACTATATAGTATTATATTTAGGGACGCAGGACTTAATATATTATCTTTATGGTCCTCTCTAGTACTAAAATTGTATTCGGTCAATTCAATCGGTCACGTATTTTATTGCAGTATTTAGGTACACTAATGTACGATACGAAGCATCGTAAGGCTAATTAACTTTAAATTACGTACCTATTTCATTGTTATAAAAGTGAAAAAGGGAATATGAGCAGTGAGACCTATGTAATAAGGTTCTAATACGGACGTGAGTTCCCGGTTTCCTTATTTTCTTAATAATTCTCCATCATTACCGCGCTATTAGAATTATAATCAACATCTATACTTTTAATAAAACAATAGTATCCAGTGTGTATCTGTATATTGAAGAGCTACGTATATATTTTTTGTCTGTCTGTTTAAATACTGAACGAATTATCATTAAGTTTTACAGGTAAACAAAGATTAAATTGGAGCAAAATTCATAGTTCTATTGAAATTGGATTTTGCAAAAAGTTATTATCATTTAAATATTTTTGTATTTAACGAATTGTTTTTATGAACTTTCTTTTGGAATTTAATTTTATGCTGTTAGATGACGTAGAAGTTCCTTATTTTTATTCAGACGGAAGTAACTGAACAGATTTTCATGAAATTCTATATGGAAATAATTTGAGCCCTAGGAAAAAAATTAAGTTACTTATCACCCCACTGCTTAGCACGGGTCTCCGCTCACGCGATACTAACTGCGAACGAAGCCGCGGGCGCAGTCATTAATTTATATTTACACCTTAATTTTCTACTTATTTGTCCGCAGATTATGAGTGTCAGCTTTAGAACGCCGTAAAATGTGAGGTTGTGACTATGGCCTGTACGGAATGGAGCTTCTGTTAGTACAAGCAAGCAGCGATTTTGCCGTTTTTCAATGAAATGTAGACTTAAGTCTTAGGTCTAACGTTGAGGTGGCGATGGACTTTTGCAACCGCTTAACATCAGGTGAGCGATGAACTAGCCTGTCCAAAAGAATGAAAAATAAATCATGACAATACCTCTTTTTTTCCGGAACGTTCACTAGTTAGTGCTTCGTAAGAAATTTTTGTCTAATTCAAAATCGACAAACATAAAATAAGAATGAAATAATTAATTTAGAATTAAGTGTAGTCGTACCTTCATTAGAGCAAACCGTTGATCGTCATCAATTCCTACGACCGCGTTCGACATAGGAGCCATATTCACTAACTGTTTATTTTTATTTTGTGATGTTTCCAATTAACGTAACACGCGCAACGTGCGTTTGCCGCGAGCTCAGCCGCCGTTGTATATTTTTGTTCAGTGCTAATCTGTGGCTGTCAATTACGCGCAACTCGTAGAACCCTTGTATACTCGTACAGCAAGTCATAGATAATACACTGCGGCAGGCAAGTGTCGTACTGGCAAGTAAGTTGATCGAATGGTAGCGTACTTGTTTAATAATTATATTATAAAGAGTTATGCATAGTTATAATTATATTTTGTAATGGCGACCCACACGAAATATGTATGTATCAATATAAAGTTAGGTATACAGTATACTGTATCTCGCTATGAATGAACGTGAACTGTACGTTTTATATAAAGCGTATCTGAATTTTATAAAAATAACCGAGCAACCGCTAGTCGCACGACTAAGCATTGTTAATTAAAATGCATATTACCTACATAATAGAAGTCAACACGGGGAGATCTCTTCACTCTCAGCTGTGCCTTAAATTGTGTATGAAGTGAAAGAATGAAGGAATTAATTCATTATCATAATTTATAGACAAAAATGAGCATGTAGTTAATGAAATAAATAATAACCTACTGTACTTATCACTGGAAAGTGTCTGGTTAAAGGAAGAGAGGCCGCCCCAGAACAACTTGGCGTCGCTCGGTAGAGCAGCTAGGGGTCTTGGGCATGACGTGGGAGGAGCTAGAACAGACTGCCCAAGACCGATATAAATGGAAAAATTTGATTCGAGCCCTACACCCCAGCAGATGGTAATAGGAAAGCATGATGATGATGATGATGATGTACTTATCACTTACCCTGTTCAATTAAAGGGCCATGATATTTAAGGGCTCCTTTTTGAAATTTGGCATGTATTGCCAAATTTCAAAAAGGAGCATCTTAAAAGTGTATTTTATATATATGTATATTGTGATTGTTCTTTATACACATTTTTTCTTCATATTGGATCTATCAAGCTCTGGTGAAGTGTATATCTAATACTATAAGTGTATATGTTAGGGAGCGACTTGCATTTACATTGATTTAATGAACTTTATCAAATAATTACTTTACTATAAGCTTATATCAGATTCAGAGTAATAAATTGTAATGGATAATAATCAAGTATACATAAATAGACAGACATTTATTATTATTATTATACATTAAATCAGTAAGTACACAGTTAAATTACAATCCAGTCGTTTTCATGCTATTTTGATCCCTTATAAAAATGAGGACTGGCATGAGCCATGAAAGTCTAAGTCTAACTAAGCTCTCATGAGAGTACTTGGTTCTAGAACTTAGTATATATATTATTTCATTATGGTAAAAATGACACCTCCTTTCTCAGGCTCCTCATCATGAACTTCTTTGTCACTGCCCTCAGCATCAGACTCATAATCATCACTATTGGTGTCTCGGTATGAACCAAACCTTGATAAATCCAATGGCAGCTGACTCATTTTGACTCCAGCCATTGAAGCCAGCCTCTCAGCTGCATGTAATGCATTCACCTCTTTAAGACGTAAGTTATGTTCTTGCTGAAGTTTTAATGAGTCTTCTATTGATAATATTTTTGCTGGCCCATGTATTGTAGGAGGAGGTGTGGCAGCAGTCACCTCCCATTTTTTACATTTGTTCTTTCCTCTTTGTATTTCCTTTTCTGGGTCGTGGACATCTGTGTTTGTGGTCTTGTGTGGCTTAAACTGTCTCGTTACTTTGGCTTTGGTGTTGTGTTCCGTTTTGTTAACTATATATCTTACGTGGGGGATCTCATCTATCTTGATTAGATCTTCAGGGGTTATCGAAAGTTTTTCAGGTTCTAAAATCTTAATTTTTTTCTCATGGAATGAGTTCTGAGTCAAGATTTTTAGGACATCTTCAGGGTCACTGTCGTCATCTGAATCTAAATCTGTGGATTGTTTAATTGTACCTGTCCATTCTAATTCTTGTACGGATTGTTTGTCAATTCCATTCAGTTTCATATTTTCGAACATCCGACACGCATCTTCTTCCTCTTGCTTCGCTTTTAATTCGGATAAGATTTTATCGTACAAAATCTGTATTTTAGCACCTTTATCACTTAGTTTAGATATAAAACTTTTATTGTTTAATAACTTAATTTGTCTATCTCGTAGTTCGAGCAACTCAGGAATAGTTTTTAACGATAGATCGGTGATTTTTCCATCGATTTCTGTTTTTGGCGGCGGCGGCAAGATACCAGGTATCCTTTTATTTATCTTGTTCATTATTTATATATTTTCAATTAGTTTTAACGCATTCACATTTTTTAACGATCTTAATTCCTGTTATTACTGTAACATTGACTAATTCTTTTTTTGTACTTACATTTGCAACAACTACTACTACATTCACATGGAATCTAAAAGATTTATTTAAGTAAAAATACTAAAAATACTGGATTTGGTTAACTTTTTGTGGAAATAGAAAACACTACTGTTTGTTTGTCACTTTTGCCCTTTTTTGTTATTTTGTCAACTAGGACAAAGGAAACATAGCCTATTCAACCTTAAATTGTGAATTCGAACTCATATTGTGATTTAAACAAGAAGTGAAGTGAAATGAAGTATAGTAGAATGCAACAAAATTAAATAGATATAACGTTGGTAAAATGGAGAGAAAGTATATTTCGTGAGATTTGTGTAAGAATTCGAAAAGCCATGAACTTAAATTAAATCCTTTTCCCCCTCATCATCATTATAGTCGGTTGCTCTTGGCAAAGCAGTCGTGGTCATGTGAAATTGTTGTTTATTAAAGCCTTGACAGATGTTTTCCATAATTTGCAAACCCCACTTAACGAGTGCGTGCGCACTCGTTAAGTGGGGTTTTAGTAAAGTCTTTCACCTGATCAGTCCAGCGCATGGAGATTTGTCCACGAGATCTCTTACCATTTACTCTACCCTGAACAACAAGTTTCTCGATAGACTCTGCGGGCCCTACCTATTCGCTATGGAGCTATTCCAATTACGCTATGGCGGGTAGGTGAGCTTACGGGTATTAAACTAAGAGAGTTTGCTATCAATGACCCTAGCAAAAACAGTGCTTCACAGAATCTACTACCGGATCTCGGGATCGCGACCCACTGATAAGATCCGGCGAGAAGCTCATTAGGTTGTGCCTTGACATCGTCCTCTATGACAATGAAAGGAAATAGAGCTTATACACGGAATACTTCTTTGCTGCTTTGAAATTTGCATCTATTGAGTTTGATCTCCAAAATGACCTTCCGCATTTAAAATATCTTTACTTTAAATCAATTAAGTAAAATCAATTCTGCCAAACATTTTGTGTGAGGTTTAGGGCTGCCACATCCAAAACCTTGGGTTTCAAAGAGTGTCGCAAAAATCCAATTTCCATAATGAAAAATAAGTGAAGTGGCATAGATACTACATTTTTTTGTGTTGCCCAGCAGTTGGAGCATCAGGTAATGAATACTCCAAAGGGTCCCACAAACAAGTTCGAAAAGGAATGACGGCGAGTAGCGAAAGAGTCGCGGGCGTACACTCGTGTGTATGCTTCGGGGGGCATTTAAACGGCAGGCTTACCTTACAATAAAAAGTGAGTAGTCTGTGCCTTGCTAAGTTGTTGTTGCTACTTATTGATGTCTTATCTATGCTTGCTATTTAAGACGTTTTACTGAGGACTTTTTGGCAGGAACGCGAGGGGTGAAGTTGTATAATTTTGTCTATTTGGTATTTCTTCACGTTTAAATGTGTAACTAGATGATGACCGAGCTTTGCTCGTTTTTTTTTTGATGACGCCATCTTGTTGTGTCTTTAAATAGTATTATTATTCGCCAATAGATGTCGGGAAAGTTGATTATTGTAAACACGAATAAAACAACATTTTCTGAAAATAAATCGTAGCTAGATCGATTTATCGCCCCCGAAATCCCCTGTATACTAAATTTTATGAAAATCGTTTGGAGCCGTTTCCGAGTTTCAGATTATACATATATATATATATATATATACAAGAATTGCTCGTTTGAAGGTATAAGATAACGGTGATTTATTAACTGTTTAATATCTGTGAAAGTGCACAGATGTGGGAAAATGAAACAAAGCCGCTGGACGTAACTTCTCGGGATCCTCCAAAAAGTCCACTGAAAAAATCTCAGTAAATGAAGGTAAATGACCACCAATATTATATATCATAGATTATATCTCATCTCATATCATCTCATTTAATTTTATCCCAGTTGATTAATGTCTCAAATTAATCATCTTCATTTCATTTCATTTCACTCCATAATATCATTTTTCATAAAAATATGAATATAAATTAAAATAAGATATGATCTAAAGGTCTTAGTTACCAGGTCATAAAATCCCTTTAATAAAAAAACGTTTTACTGATCTGTGGTTAAATATGTCATAGAATTTAGATCATAGAGTAAACACATATTTTAGATCATAATTATCTAGAAAAATATTATGTACACGAGTGAAATTATACAAATTATAAACAATGCGCAAGTCCAATGCTTAGTTAAAATATTATGTAGGAATAATTAGTGTATAAGTTATGTGATCCAAGAATTCTAGAACACCAAGAGATCTAAGAGTAAAGTAATTTAAAGGAACAGATTCAACACTCAAGAGACATGGAAGGAACGGTATTCTAAATAAATAATCATACTTTGCATAAATTTTCATTTATCACCTGATTTTCATCTAACAAGTACCCAAGTATTACAAACTAAAAGTATCATAAAGATCATTTAAATGATAATAATTTGACTCAAATTAATTGTACCACAAACTATATAGATGATTTTATCATTGAAATGAAAACAATGACCAAATGAACATAAATAGCACACGTTTTCTTACTTTATCCTTTTTTGAGGTACAGGATGCTGGGAGCATACACTGGTTGGTTGTACTATGGTGACTCTTTCAATTTAGTCGGGAAATCCAGTTTGATGGGTAGAATGTCTAACATTTTCATGTTTCGCATTTTGAAAGGGACAGTCGAATCCATAAGCTGTATCTGGTTAAATACTGAATGTTTCACTTTGACAACAAAGAATCATAGCAGACAATTTTTTCAATGGCCAATATGTGAAATTGGCTATATATTTAAAAAATATACTTGAATTAGTAGTGTAGCAGTTTAAAGATTTTTTTTGTCAAGAAGTAATGCTTTTCAGTTTGAAGGGTGTCATGTTGTATCTATGAGCTCTGGTCACCACTTAATACCAGGTTGGCTGTGAGCTCATTTATCTCTTTACTTATGAGCTATCAGTTCAGTATCAGAAAACTTGTTAATCATTCATTGTGGAAATCATTCTTGAACATTTATGAACTGAGAAAAAATTGTGTTAAAATCCTTTATAGTCATTTTATTGAATACATGGTCACTAGCTGCTTTGCCAACTTTGTTGTTTTATCTGTAAACATACTGGAGACCTGATGTTGAATGGTCAAAGTTACTCATAGATGTCAGCAAAGCCAGCTAAACCACTGTCTTGCTAAATAAGGCACAGAGACCTGAATGAGAATGAATGTCTCAGAAGGCAATGTTAATGCTCCCAACACAGTAGCAGAGACAAAGTGTGAAGTGAGTGTGTTTACCCATTAAAATAAAAAAAAGTAAATACAACTCTGATGCTACTGTAATAAAGAACTCATAAAAAAGATTATTTATCATGGTGGCTTAAAACCCCCTTTAAAACATTACAATAATGTTTAACCAAATATTTAAATATGCTGTACAATACCCTATGTATTTTATTTTCAGGTTCCATTACATTTGGACCCAGTCCACCAGAACGAAGTCTGTGACAGAAGATTATGGATTGGGAATCTAGACCTGAGAGTCAATGAGTATGTTTAAAATATTAAAGTAATTTTTAAAGATAGCAATAAAAAAGAGAATAAATGTCTCTATAATTTCATAACATAAAATAATAAAAGGGTTACATTGTTTTATCTTCTTCTTCTTTTTCTCCACCTTATCCCGCTAGGTGGGGACGACACAGCTAATTTTTCTCTTCCATTCTCTTCTATCAGTCGTCATCTCAACACTCACTCCTCTCTCTTTCATATCATCATTCACACACATCCATGTCTTCTTCGGTCAACCTCTTCTCCCTCCCTCTACCTTGCACTACCATTTCCATACATCTCCTAGTCACATGCATCTTCTCTCTACGCATCACATGTCAATACCACGCTAACCGTCTGCTCTTTAATTTGTTACTTACCGGGGCTACTTTTACACTTCCTCTGATATACTCATTCTTTTCCATTTCTTTATCGTACTAATAAAAGGCAATATAATAAAACATAATTTTTTTTTCATTACCGGTATCAATTACTGAAACTGGTCCGCGTCTATGGGAATATTGAGAAGTTCGACATGCTGTTCCATCGTAGCGGACCTGCAGCCGGGCAGCCAAGAGGGTTTGCGTTTGTTACATACAAATTGAAACAAGATGCTGTTAAGGCAATGAACTCATTGAATGGACAGTTACTAGGCTGCAAAAGGATATGTGTCAAATTTGCTAAGCACACTGCTGTAAGTATCAATTAACTGTAACAATTTTACATAATATATTAATGCTGTAAAGTTTTTTTAGTTCTATGTGTAGTGCATATACTTTGTAGTTATTTTATGACCTAACCTGGTTGGTGAACTACTCGATTCAATCATGAAAAATTGCAGATAGCAAATTTTGTATTTGCAACCATGATATACTGGGTGGTTTTATAAATGAATTTGCAATGTGCCAGAGGCGAAATTTAACATACTTAGAAACGGGTATTTAAAAATACTACCTAGTCAAAGTTTCATAAATTTGATTTTCAAATCTCTCAATATTTAGATTATTTTGATGACTCTTTTAATGAGATGAAAGATGAAATCAATAGTTACTTTACAAAAATTGATTGGTTTTCGTTATCATGCTGTCTTGTCCTATGGTTGTAATGAACATTGTTTACGTAGCACTTTTTTTTTTTATTGCTTAGTCTTGTGGACTAGCTCACAACCCACCTGGTGTTAAGTGGTTACTGAAGCCCATAGACATCTACTACGTAAATGCGCCACACACCTTGAGATATAAGTTCTAAGGGCTCAGTATAGTCACAACGGCTACCCCACCCTTCAAACCGATGTCCTGATTAGTTGTGCGCGCATGCCTTTTGTTACAAGCCAATTTTTTTACTTGTTATTTATTGTTATCTTTTCTTTTTAGCTTGTAATGTGTATTGTGTGCCTAATAAATAAATAAACTAATAACAAAGTAATAAAATGCTTGGCAAACAAGTATAATAAATGGTTCAAGACAAAATCTTCAATAAATTATAAAATATCTGTTAAACTAGTCAAATCCGAATTCTGAACTACTTTGCTGAAAAAATGGGTAGGATGGTGTTGCTACTAATAGACTGCAGACACAGTGTGATACAAATTAGCAACAAATTGCCGTTTTCGCTTTAATAATGGTTCCTTTAAACCTGTATCTCGCCCTCAAAGAATAAACATTCACACAATTTACTATCAGCACTTAAAGCTTCTGACATGAGGATTTAGAAAATAATTAAGTTAAAAAAATATTCACAGGATGATCAAGATAAACCAAAACCAGAACTAGGTATACCGGCATTGGCTGGTGCAAAACCAGAGTTTAAACTCAGCAAAAAGACAGCCATCCAATCCATAGAGGCTAAACTCAAGATGATGGAGAATATGAACCCCGGTGATGACTTTGTGATCAATAAATTAGCCGCTAATGAGACTCCAATAATAACACAATACCAGAATAAAGCCCTGCAACCTCCAAATAAAACGGTCAGCTCGTTTCGAAGACGACACCCATATCATAAGAAGAGATAATCCATTAGGAATAGTAATAAAACTACTTGTTTAATTTATCAGTATTTCATATTTTAAGGGTTTCATTAAGATATTTGTAAAAGTAACACATTTTCAGGTTAAAAACTTTTATTTTTAATAATTCTCTTATTATTATTAGCTTGATTTGTAACTATGTAATTCTAATCTTGAAAATCTGCTTTAAACTACCCTGATCTGATCTTTCTAGTATCTATCTGAAACCTTTCCGTTAGTACCAGTCTAATGACAAGGGCGGTGGGTGATATTTACGTTGTGATGTTTGAGATTGAGTACATCTTGCAATTTTAATAGAAAAAAATATGTTGAAAATTCTACCTTTTTTATTAGTATGCTGAATAGTAAAGTTGTTTTTACATAATGATATCTAAAAATAATGGTTCACAAAATTTCAGTCAGTTAAGGAATTGTTTTTTTGTCATGTAAATTAAATGTAGTAATCATTACTGTAGCTGGTTATGGTCTGAATATTTAGTAAGTTATTCTGTTTGGTTGTAAGCTAACTTAATTTCGGTTTAGAATTTTTGATATATGCATATATTTTTTTTGTAAAGATACAAAAAAAATTCCGTGCATGATGTGTTTTCATTCAAGGCAGATACTACGTTAAAACAGCCACTTCATTTTCTAACCCCTAAAATTAGAATATCAAAAAATACCATATTATTTATTAGTCAGCAATTGTAATCCTTTACAAACTAACGATTTTACTTTTGTTATTATATATTTCTCAAAAAACAGACTCAACTGTAATATTTTTTGTCATAATTTATAGGAATGAAGTTAAATTCAGTATATTATTTCACAAACAATGAACCTGCAGCTTATGTGATGTGAATGTAGTGTGATCTCAATAAAATTACATTGATGAACAAGTGTTGTTTCAAAATGAAAATCCTTATTCCATAAATATACTTTATTATATTTTTGACAGTCAATACGCAATTAAATAGAATAAAAAGGCAGAGTAATCAACGAATGTAAAGTATGTACATTGACTAATAACATGTTTTAAGCATAAATAGATGCAGGATAGCAGCATCTAAAACTTCATTGTTTATCACAATAAGTTATACAAAGTAAATTAGACAGTTTCATTTATTACTAGAGTTTTATAGAGTAAATTTTTACTTTTCTCCTTAATAATAAATAAATAAATTTTAGTATGGTATGCTTTCACTTGTTCTAAATCCAGGTAATACTCCATTGGACAGTGAGCTTGCTAGTTTAGAACATGGACTAACAGACATTAAAAAGTCATCATCGTCTGCCTCCATTTTCTTTTTCATGTTTGAGTATTGAGTTTCGTCATCGCCTTCTTTTAACCAGTCTTTGTAATCGATGCACAGCGGCCATATTATTTTACCGCTTCTGAAACATTCAAAGAATTGATTTCTCTCAAGTAAGTTATAGTGTAATTGTTAGGACGTGCATAATTAGAAACAGTTTACCCTTTATATTTTAGAATATTAAATTATCATTATACCCTTACAGCGTAACTAAGGACTCGCGACATATTAGTTTGCACAGACAATCATCGAGAAGTTGCTCACAGAACTTTACCTTATTATCAATAATTAATAACAATACGTAATAAAAGCGATTTGATTATAATGGTAGATTTTCGTGAGTCACATTTACTACTTTTACAGGTTTCTCTCGCGTATGTTTTACTTTATTACATTATATTAGTTTTCTGATAGTTTCAGTTAAATTGATTTGTGTTTTAATATGTATATTATAGCAAAATGCAATTAATCTCGGATATAGGTTAACTAAAAATTTGTAACGCTAGTGGAAGCAGGCCAAGCTGCTTTTACATTTTGAGAAACTACTGACACTCCGCCTGTCGTAAGTTATTTGACAAATTTCCATACATTTGAGTTATAAGAAGAGGGTATATTTACCTAGGTAATTGATAAGGGTCGTATGGAAACCATTCATCATACTGCAAAATATCTGCAGACTGTAACGTGTGTCGCGCATTGTTCTCAATAATAGCTTGACAATACACAATTTGGTGAGACCGAGTCACCGATGAAAATGCTCGTGTCACTTGTGGTGGGCAGGTGCGGAGAGGATTCAGTGTGCAAGCCACTAGCCGAGGAAGATTAAGAGACTCCACAAAGTTTAAGCCTGAAATATTATAATAAATGTCATATTAAATAAAGATAAATTATACATATCTGTAATTGTTAATAATTTAGTTATATTTTACTGAAATTACCATTACTGAAAGAAGTGACCAAAATATATTTTTTTAAAGATAGCCTTTTTGTAAATGTGTCAGTTATACTTCACAAATGTGATTTTATTCTGGGTAGATTACTTAAAACTGAGCTTAAAAATAGCCTTTGAACCATAAATAGAAAATTAAAACTCTATTTCATGAGCTGTAAATGTTATGACATATTGATCCATCAAATACAAGACTGTATTTAGTAAAGGCTTTAAAGATCAACAACGAAAGTACACAACAATAAATATACATTCCGAATATTTTTTTTTAATATCTAGAATGCTAAATTATACTCACTTTCTTTACTCATAAACAGATGCTGGTGTTTGAATGCAATTAGGTAAAACACAGCATGACATATAGCATGGAAGGCTCCATGAGCTTTAATGTTATCAGTAACAGTGGTGGACTCTTGAGCTGCAGAGATGTAGGAATGGCACCAATCTGTCATTGTCTTCAAGAATTGTACTAATCTTGAGTTAGGAACTCGAACACAACGAGCCAGCAGGCCTGCAAGATGACTGGCAGCTGTGCGTCTTGTTGCCAATGCACCGGGCCCAAGACCCTGAAGCCCTGCCGCTACTGTCCACAGATTGTTGAGAACTCGGTCAGCGCAATGTTGGTTTATTGATATTGTATACAGCAGTAAAAATTGAACATGCCTGAAAAATATATACAATATGTGATTAGCATTTTTTCAAACTAAATGTTACGTATATGTTTAAAAAAAGTGTGATATTAAAATAGTTGATTGCTGTATCTATGCTATCTATTTTTTTAAATAGTGAATTTCATTACATATTTCACTTAAGTGTAAATGTTCCTTGTCAGTGCATTGACTTCCTTGACTATCCTTGAGACAGGTTAAAAAAAAGAACCACATTTATTACTACCATTGCAACAATTTTTTTAAATCTATATAAATAAATAAAAATATGACAGTTAAATACTATTTCTCCTCTTTTTTCAACCAATTCTCGCTTTTTTTGTTTTCTCCAATATAATCTATTGACAAGCTTATTTAAATATAGTTTGGTATTTGGCTTCATGAATTATTTGGAATTTTTTAGCTAAATGCCTTAATCTTTTATATTTTAAAAATTATAATCAGTATAAATCATAACATGTCAGTGATATAGTAGAGTAAGTGGTTGGAGTGAATTTAAATTAGGTATAACATTTATATTCACAAAGATATAGGTCAAGGAATAATCACTACTATCAGTTTATTGAGATTAACATTTTTTATGACATTAAAATTTATAAAATTACAAATTTCACAAAAATTTGTACAAAAGATATAAATTTGATGAGATCCTGTGTTTGTGAATATACCTCATTTTATTCTGTTAATTGAAGCTGCTAGAACAATGTAGATTCATCACAACAGGACTGCTTTATGGAAGTTATAGGATATTCGCTTCCATTGCCATTATTATATTTATTAGATATTTATATCATATCATTACTTATTATGATAAAAATAAAATAAACCTCCAAAATTCTTCCTAGATAAGACATTTATCGCATGAACAGATCATGCTATACACACTACTTAATACCAATAAAATTAGCTTCAGTATATGGTCTTCCTCATCACATTATAAGAAGCATGTTATTTTTCTGATCTAGCCTCATCATTGTATGTATGTGAGAGTTTACATGTTTTTCATTTATACTTTTGAATTTTAAAAACACAAAATGAGTAAGAATGTATATTATATTTTCTTACCTGATTCCGTAAGTTGGTAGTATTATTTTTTCAAAAGCTGTGCACATGTGGTTCAAAATAGGGTCTCTTTCTTCCTGTAGCCAGTGCAATACTTCTAGCATACTATAGTCTAGGGTTTCAGAGATGTCATCATGTTGTTCCACATCCATGTCAAATAGTGTGTCATTCTGTTTCATTTTATTGTCACTTTCCACTATATTGCCGTCCATTACTATCATTCTGAATTAAAAAAATAAGGTAAATATGTGAGCTTTACTAAGTGGCATGTCAAATAAAATTAAACCACAATAAAGGTTTTTATTTCAAGTAGGCCTTCATAGGTGTTTTTAAGTCGTCATGACATTATGGCTGAGTTGGAAAACAGCTGCATCAAAAGAGAATCAGTAAGAAACTTGGAGCTTCCTCTTTTTCTAATGTATCTGTTTACAATATATTGTTAAATAAGTACATATAAAGATGTGCTTAGTTGGAGTTTTTACACTCTCAATAGCATAAGCTAGCCCAAATTTGTGTGCAGTAAGAACAGCTCCTAGCAGTAAAAAACTCACACTAAGAACACTGGTCTGCCTTATTCAATGCTGGACAAAAATCTGTTTGTAGGGTTGTGGATCACAAATTCATAAGGTCCCGTCTAACATTAAAGTAGCCGTTCAAAATACTTTGATTTTTCATCTTTAACCTTTTAAACATTAAGTCTAAAATGAGAGCTGTAATAAATTATGTCCTGGCCAAACAAGTTTAAGGACTATTTTTATTTCTAGTATTTATGAAATGTCTTTAAGGATGATTAATAAAAATTAAACGTAAATGATTTTAACAAAAATTTATAACTTAAAATAATCAGTTTACAATTTGTTTTCAGATTGAATTTAAAAAATGGCTGCCTCTTACATACACCTTATTCATAAAGCTTAGTTATTTAGACTGACTGCATGACATGTCTCAATATGTACGTACAAGGTTTTGTTTACTCACCTATTAATAATAATCATCATAATTTCCTCTGTAAGTGAAGGTAGGTATTTGCTAATCCATATAAGGTTATATATGAAAGATCTATTTGAACTACAACCCGCTTTGTGATATGGAAATTGATCTATCACAGTCTCCATTAAAAGTTCATTTGTCCTAAAACAATTATTTGTTAAAATATTATTAATGTAAACATTACCTGAATTTTTCTCAATTCAGGTAATATTTACATAGATTTTTTTAGGCCTAAATTTTTATTCTCTTGATGCCTTACTAATATATCGACCCTTGAAAGGCAAACGTGACTAAGCGACAATGAGTGAACTTTACAGTAGACTAATTTAAAGTTGAAATACCTGAAAAAAAAAGGCTTTTTTAACTAATCTAGCTGTAGGATTGAAATGATTTTAATAGACCTAGAAATATATATTTTTTGCGCATCGAATATTATTATTGCCTATCATTTATGTACAAAGCAGTTATTGTCCTTAGTCACGTTTGCCTTTCAAGCGTCGATATGGTTTCATGCATTATATTGCATAGTCAAATGCTATGTATCTGTTAAAATTGTAATAGTGAGAATCCCAATAACACCATAATTCCAAACAATTTTGTACATTTTTCAACATTTTTAGTAAAGATATACTTCTTACATTAGATTATGTAGCCTTTACTATATATTAGGGAATACCAACATTTCATATTATCCTTCTGTATCTTCTTAAAAATGTGGCGACATCCAATTGTCAGTAATTTTTTTATGAAATGAATAGACCTTCTGGTTCTATTCAGAAGGTCACCATTCATTTCTTTGATTTCATACCAGTTTACATCTTTGGTATGTGCTATTTTTGGTCCACTTACATGTGACCATTTGCATTCTGCACCAGCAATACAGGCTGAGCTGCTCAGTGATCATAATAGCATCCATCACCGCTGTTCAGCTTTTGTATTTAGGTAGCTGCATTTCATGCTCCCACTCAGTAATAATTGCCCGAATTTCAGTGTTACTGAAATAGAATATGTTTAGAAATTTCATTTCCAAAGAACTCTTTCCCAAAAGTGCTCTTCACTGATTCTCTAGAAAAGTTTTGGTAAATACTCAATCAATGGTATTGATTGATGTAGGTGCAAAATCACACAACATAGTTTCCAGAGTCATTTATAAAGCCAAATAGAACTCTGTGCACCTGGTTATTTTAAGAGAACAATTTCAGTCTCTCGACCCATTTATTATTAAGTATTGGATTTGAATGTAACTAACGGATTCTTTACATTATTCTATTAGCAAACGGTAGCTTGGTAAGCTTTATTTACATATTTTTGAGTGTTTAACAGAAGGCTCAAATATGATCTCATCAGCTAAATGTTTTGTAAGTAGTATGGTGGGTCCCATAAACTTTTTAAACATCTATGTGATGATCTTGTGGTATTCGATCATTTTTAGTTAGCTGCAGAAGACAGTTCCCAAAAAGGGAACTGTTTCAGTATAATGAGATCTGACCAATTAAATGTCTCATCCAACCTTTGTAGGTTGTCAAATATATCATAAATATGCTTCATGAAGCATTTTGATATATTAGCCTATATCCACTCACTTAAGAGTAAATACTGGCTAAATCAATACACATACTTAAATAATTAAATTCCCAAACAACTCTAATTCAAATTGTTGAAGATTTTTGTAAATATTTTATAATTTTTTATGTATCGTGACACATATCTATAGGGCGCTTCATTAGAAAATAGTCCTGACATTACTTAAATTGTTAGATAGATATAAACATCCACAAACATTGTAATATGAAGCATAACCTTAAAGAAAGTTACGTAAAATACTTACATCGGCATTATTGCAATAATTTGTGCTATTATTGTATGAATGTTAGACCAGCTATTCAATTTCTCTGTTGGTGGAGTGTCATCCCAGTTTTCTTCATTAGCTAAAAATATCTTAGTCATCATCAAATATATCTCTAACTAATGTTATGAAAATTATTATTAGATTAAATAAGTAAGTCTGCCTAAAAAGGCAATTTTTTTTTTTTAAATACCATCTTGGTTACTTCAACTTGTGAATGCTGGTTTGGAATCCTGCAGGCTGGTAACAATTTTTCTGATGGAATACTACTTACTTAACAAATGTTCACGAATGACTTCCACAGTGAAGTTGTGTAATAAAAATCAAACCCGTAAAAGTTTTAATTTCCTTAATTACTATCAGTAGGGAAACTTGTAAGCATGTGTGGGTAGGTACCACCACTTCCCTGCCTATTCCTGTCTTAAAGCAGTAATGTATTTTGATTGAAGGGTGGGGTAGTTGATGACTGTAAAAACTAAGTCTTAGAACTCAGGTTTCAGGGTGGGTAGTAGCATTCACATTCTGTATGTCTATGAGCTTCAGTGAACACTCAACACCAGGTGGGCTGTGAGCTCATCCACCTATCTAAGCATTATAATAAAAGTAACAGACTAATAGCATAATAATACTATAATTCAGTTTTATACAATACAATATTACAATAGTTATATTAGTAAGAATATGAAAAAAAGAAAATCTCAAATCTTAAAGGTTTCTAGATTTCTGAATGAGTACTTGTATTGACTTTTATGTGTTAAATTCTTTCACAATATTTCACAATGTTTTTATTAGTATTTACTCGTTATTCGTTCTTAAATATATATTTTTTATATGTTCATTTCTATTTTATTTGTCTTTTAACAATTTTATATTTAATATTACAATTATAGAATAATATTATAATGTAATAGCATAATTTATGACATCTTCATAATCCCTACAAACCAATGAATCGTAAGTGGCTATCATTGTCCAGGTATACTAGAACTACCACTGTGTGTTGCTAACTTACCTTTAAAAACCTTAACCAGACAGCTCATCACTTGCGGACAATGGTAAATATGTGCAGTGACTAGGCTAATGATGAAGGTGCTGAAAAGGTTGACTAACTTTTCACACCTACTAGCCCACTCAACATTGCACACTGCTTCTACAAACTGCTTGAAATCCTGTCCCATAATAAGAACGCAAGAGAGACAATCTTCGAGAATAATGCGAAAATTCTCATCATTTAATGGGTAATCTCTCAAAACTCTGACTAGCTCCGAGTAGGGGCCAATGTTTCCTGTTTTAGCATAATTAAGAAGTATCTGTTCTATTTGTTTTTCGGAGAATTTCAATCTAGTACGAGCTAAAGCCGCTTGGCGATCCAGAGTTTTTTGCATCAAGGACGCGACGCTTTTCCTAGCCGCTACCGCCATTACTTCTTCAAGTCTTTCGTGATTGCCTTTAAAAACTCTGTTACGTCTGGTTGCCGAAGCAATTCTGCTTTTTTGTAGTTCAGTACTTCGCGTAAAATATTACTACTATCTTCTATGTTCGGGACAGTATTTGTGTTCGGATCGTAACTTGTACTCGGTTTGCTGTACCCGGCGCTCGTGTCGGAAACGTCAGTGTTTTTCTTGTCTTTCAAATAAGACTGTAATCGCTCTAAAACAGCCTTGTTGTCACTTTCTTTCTTTTCTGGGCTATAACCTTCTCTCGACATAGCTTAACGGTAACTCTAAGTTTTACATTGTGTACAATGTTGCTGATGTTTTATTGATTAATATTTATGATGAATTGACGGAAAATGTACACGTACGTTCAAATTAAACCACATAAACCTAATTCTTCACCTCAGTTCCTTTTATGAACACGTGCGCAACGTGCGCGGAACTTTTTGACTTTTTACTTGACACGCCGAAAGTTGTCATTTTGGTTTGGTTTTTCTACCTTCAAAGGCAAAGATTAAAATGACCATACCTTAGTCTTTTCTTTTGAAAGACTCGAGCCAGGTCTTTTTCGATTGAAAGCATAATTAATTTTGTGGCTTAAAGAATTAGACGCCTAATAAAATTGTATTAAGCGCTACAACCATGACAGTGTCTAAATACTGCACAAATTAGTTGAAGTATTGGTCTCTATTAAAACTTTTTATTTTTAGATTTATTGTCTACTTCGATGAGAGCGCGTTTGCGATTTGTCATTAAGCTATCGATAGCACTCATTTTCTGTGTGTGTAGTTTTAATGTTATAAATAAGTTAGTTTTGACTTCGATAATTAATGTCATCAGTTTGAGCTTGAGCTGATTTATCGATTTAATGCTTTTAAAAAGATTGTATTGTTGCGATGAAAAGTATTATTTTTCCAATTTAGGAATGAAACTGGTATAAAAACTCCATAGATAATATACATAAAAAAATACTCCGATATGGCGAATCGACTCCTATTGTAGATTAATTAAACTTTGTCTATCATTTTCCCCTAAGTAGAAACACTGAGTTAAAAAGTTATATACCTATTGAACGTACGAACGATTTCGAAATTTTTTGATAGTATTTTAAATATTAAATTATACATATAAACACCGCTTTATAGATGAATGTTGTGTCTGCATTACAGATTACGAATGTGATTTGTTGCTAGACTGCTTTTGTACGTTAAGTACCTACTTGAATATTTGACGTTTGTCGTTTATCTGTGACTTTTCATTTCTCAATGAAATTGGGAGGGGTGGAATGCGTGTGTATTTCGGAATTCCGGATTTAATCTTCATTTTGTATTATCATTATCAGTGTGTGTGTTGTGTTGGAAAACTTTAAAATAATGAACTGTGCAAATAAAGTGTGATTTGATTTGTTTCCTTTTTTAATTGTCTTGATAATCATGCAAAATGGCCAACGATTTGTGGTCATGTACCTGCTGTACAGAGGCTCTGACTTGTTGGCTGCGTCTGAAGCTATCGCCGGAGGAGATAGAGCAACGATATAGGAGTAAAGAGATCGACAGAATACTCGAGAAAGACAAGCAAACTCTGCGGCGGCAGGTGAAGCTGTTGTTACTCGGCGCGGGTGAAAGCGGAAAGTCAACATTCCTCAAACAGATGAGAATCATACACAAAGTGAAATTCGAACCGGAACTTGTGCGGGAGTACCAGCATGTGATATATCAGAACATTGTCAAAGGCATACAGGTGTTAGTGGACGCAAGAGACAAACTCGCGATACCATGGGAGAATCCGCGGAATTTGGATATCGGCCAGCAAGCACTGCACTTCAACAGCACGGCGTCGCTCGACAGCCGACTCTTCATGCACTACGCGCCGCACATACACTCATTGTGGTTAGACAGAGCCATAAAAAGGGCATATGACAGGCGAAGAGAATTTCAATTGGTAAGTTGTATACAATAAACAAAGCAATTGCAATGTATTCCTACCTAAGTATATATTATAATGCAAAATTTGCATTATAATATAAACTTATTTATTACAATTGATTTTTATGAGACACTCTGGCTTTCAAATAAATTCCTTTTGCCAGATTTTTATTGTTAAAAGTTTTAATTATAGCTAAATATAACAAGAAAGGTATGTAATGCTTAATTGGAACCATAATAAACTATTTTATAGTACAGCCATATAAATAGAAATGTTACTTGTCTTCAAGTTTAGTGGTGGCAATCACATTGTGATGTCTACTCTGGTAAATATCTAGTTGTATGATGTCTAGGTGTCTAGGTGTCTAGATATATGATGTTGATGTATGTATGGTTGTATGTATGCACAGGGGTTCATAAATGTTATAGACAATATAGTTTACAAACAAAGGATATATGCTTTATTTGTAATATTTTCATCCTTGTGTCATAAACTGTCATACTCCTGATCCATTAACAGTGCTCTTAGGTAGCTCAAGCACCAGTTACCGTCCTCACCAAACCCGTCGACAAAGGACTCAATGAGTAAATTAACCCATAAAGGCAGCCCACTGTGTTTCTCCCAAGATCTGCTCAGTGGGTCGCGTTTCCGATTCGGTGGTAGATTCTGCAAAGCACTGCTTTAGTTAGGGCCAGTGTTAGCAACACTTCCGATTTGAGCCCCGACAGCTCACCTGCATGCTAGGGTAAAGCTGAAATAGCCTCTGAAGGCTATCAGCATAGGTACAAAAAAAACTTGTGTTCCCGGTCAGAGGTAGCAAAATCATTTTATTGTTATCAATGCTTGTTTTTTTTACCTTACAGTTGACAAAAATTGTGTTGGAAGATTTAGTTACATAGATAGAATTTAAGCATGAAAAAGGTAATTTAAGCACGTGAAAAAAAGTGTGATCAAAAGATTTTAAGAGAGATAGTTAATATAAATGAACCGGTCTCCAATATGAGAAAGGCACAACTAAAAATCTAAAACCTTTATAAAGCCATTTTGTTTGGAATTCAAAACTACTTATGTCAATTGTTACAGTAAAACATTTGCTTAGCATATTTCACATTCAATAAAGTTTATTGACCTTTATTACATTAACTTGATAAAAATGCCATTGTTTTCTTATTGTTAGTCAGCTCCTTTTTCATTTAAAAACAAGGTCTTTGATAAATATTATCTTCATCATTAAGAAACTGGTTTGTGTAAAAGTATTCTGGGTTTATCAATAGACCAATTATTGTACCAATAACAGTAAGAGTTGCTGTTTGAAAAGGTTTTATATTTAATGTGAATAAAATATGCTAATATTAATCTCTTCCTAGATCTTGTTAATGTTGAAGTTAAAAAATTATCCAATTGGCCTAAAGCCAAATATGAGTTGAAAATGTTTTCATCTTCGTTACTTTGACACCATAATAAATTGGTACATATTCTGCTGCAAGANTTATTGTACCAATAACAGTAAGAGTTGCTGTTTGAAAAGGTTTTATATTTAATGTGAATAAAATATGCTAATATTAATCTCTTCCTAGATCTTGTTAATGTTGAAGTTAAAAAATTATCCAATTGGCCTAAAGCCAAATATGAGTTGAAAATGTTTTCATCTTCGTTACTTTGACACCATAATAAATTGGTACATATTCTGCTGCAAGAAAACTTGTTGGCTTATGCTGATGACTTTACAAGCATGTCTTTCACGAACTTACTTTTATCTGGTAGGGCATGTTGTGAGCCCACACAGTTAGAAACCACCACCTTGCCTATTTTAATGCTGTGAAGCAATAATGCATTTCGATTTGACGGTTGGGACAGCTGTTCTACTGTAAAATGAAGACATAGAACTCATGCCCCGAGGTGGGTGTCAGCATTTACGTTGTCCATATCTATGGTCTTTATTAGCGACTTAACACCAGATGGAGCTAATTAAACTTAACAACCATTTTGAATATTCACCTTCTTTTGAGACCTGGTATATTTAAACACACTAAAAATGAACAATCAAAAGAATTGACTTGTATTTATTGAAAATGTATACCTTATCACAGCAAATAGTAGGGCTATAGTGACCATAAACTACATTTTTTTCTAGATTAGCATGCTACTAATTATTATTAAATCTAAATTATAATTTAAAACATTTCTGCCAAACTAAAGTTTTTTCATATCAACCTCACCTATTAATGTTATAACCACCATTGTTGTAGTTAATGGCTTATCTAAATTAAAAGTCACATTAATACAGAATAATTTACGTACAATATTTTGTTTTCAAATTTAATTGTTTGATGCATTTGTCGTGGTAATTAATTTTATTTTTTAGCTGCTTCAATAAATACTTCTCTATAATTTTCTCCATAATACTTACTTTATTACCTCTGTAATAAATGGTTGCTTAAACAATGACAATGTAAATAAACCTGAAATAAAATTTTTTGTAAATGTTAAGATGGTTAAATTATAATATATTTTGTTAACTTTGAATTGATATTTAGTAAGTAGAGGATATTATTATACAGTTATGAACCAACTTTGTCAAAGCTACAGATATTTTTTATTTGAATGGTGAATGGTGAATGTTTATCATAATATATGAAATTGACTTGTTTTCTTTACTGAGTACATGGATTTCGACATATTAATTTACACAATTTCCACCGATACCCAGAATGTATTGATTGGCCTGAGATCGTCATATCAGGAAGATTAAACTCCTAGATGAACAATGTTCTAGAATTTAAGATGCTGTTACATCTGACGGGGTGTGTTAGTGTGCAAAGAAAAAAAAAAAAAAAAAAAAAAGATGAAAATTTTTGCGGTGGTTATCACTATAGTCTTCTGTACGAAAGGTGTAAAGTATTATAGTGAACTGAGATCAAACTGTAAAACGTAGTTCTAATTACGTTCACGATTCGCGAAAATCGAAGAGAATACATACTTTTTTTTCCTACCCAAGCTCACCGGGCTAGTAGGTTAGCTCACGGGGCTCAAACCTGATGACGTTGCTAACACGAACCCGCTTCGCAGAATCTACCACCGGATCGGAAACGCGACCCACTGAGAAGATCCGGCGTGAAACTCAGTGGGCTAAAGAAGAGAATACAACATAATAAGTATGACGTATTATGTAATTTACATCAGCGGAAGTTAATTCGGGTCTCGTTCATGTAATGCGGTTGCGAGGTCTAATTAAGAAATCAAATCGGATTCCCGGAAATATCTACTACGGGCACACTTTGCTGGTAATTAATTAGCTGGCCACCACAATTCTGTCTCATATAGGATTTTTATTTATTGCTTAGATGGGTGGATAGACATTAACAACTTATGCGACGGCACCCTGAGAAATGAGTTCTAACTCTCAATACTACAACGGCTGCCCCACCCTTGAAACTTGAACGTATTATTTATTCGCGATAAATAAGCGTGGTACTTACCGGTGCGGGGTCTTAGACGCCCTACCACCACCAGTAAAACATTGAATTTGAATTTGAATTTAACAGGAAACTATGTTGTTTAAATGCTCACGTTGTTGATGTTGGATGATGGCAAACCTTGATCAGTTCGAAATTATGAAATTGACTCCATGTCTTCAAATAAATTGAAAATATCGTGGTACGTGTTCAATTTCGAACCTGCGTTTTCTTGATTGAGAAGCACGCGTGATACGGCGAGTCACGACTGTGCTTGGTTGAAGGGTAGGTAGGATTTTATACAAAAACGAGACTTATTTTGGGCGCATATTGTACATCTTTCATAGCATCCGGTCCTGCAAGGCTCCGACCCGCTCTGTAAACTACATAATGAAAAATATATTTTCGTATTAGTCCCCACGCACACTGCCGGAAGCTGTACGGATCGTTCATCTTCCAATATTCGCACATTAGAGAATATTACATAAACTTCGAAGCGTAAATACGGACCACACGTGTGAACCATTATTAAAGGCATTCTCGATTTTTGTAATCGAAGACAGATTGAGTTCACGTGAATTTATGCGCATGCGCGCATGGACATACCACTAGACAGACAAAGCCACAGCCGAGAATAGAAAGCATCTATCTATAAGGATTCTTTTCAAACATTGTTCGAATAATAGGGATATAAATCGTAGCGTTGCGGAAACACGAAGAAATTCCGGAGTTGGATGGTGCGTCGAAAATATCGGAAACACGCGTTAAGGTCGCACGTGACTCAAGCTATCATTCAAAGAACTCTGGATTTTAACTAAACCTTTATTTATACAAGCCGATACAGCAATTGTTTTCTCATTAAAAAAAAACCGGTTCCCTAGTTACTGAATACAAAACTAGCCAATCATTGTAAGTCCATTTACGATAAAATAAAATTAGTACTAGCAAGAGCAACGTATCTGGCAAATATTTAGATTTTTTCTTACGTATGGTATTTGGTCATTTAATAATCTATATAAATGGACTACTGAATTTACCACTATTGAATAACCTAATCACTTAATTAAATTATAATTAAAAAAACAACAACCAAAGACGCTTGAAAGAATTTTTGAGGTATATTTCTTAAAAAAAATATTTTCTGTACTTCGTAACCTTCATCTAGTTCACGTTTTTCATTTAAACCGGAACTAATGTAATAAAAACAATTAAATTCAACGGCAAAGTGAATTTAATTTATCGCAGTGGCGCGAACGCACGATGAATAAATAAAACTCCTCAGTATTGTAATTGCATTCCGTATCTTCTACGATTAGTCACATATTTGTTGCGTCATGAGTCACAAACAAACTGGTTGATGCCACCAAAGTACATGGACTATTGAAAACCGATATTACGTTGATTATAAACTTCTATTGGTATAACGATAGCGAAGAGATAATAAAGATTATTACTTCAATTCAATTTTATCGAGTTATATTGCTTATTGTGAATTAATGAATCTTAAAAATGTCCTACATACCTTTAGTGTCTGCAAATGAAGTTTAGTCATGTTTAATA